GATGGATGGATGGATGGATGGATGGATGGATGGATGGATGGATGGATAGAGTTGAATAAACTTTTGGCTCTCAAAATGGTTTCGGTGCCCTATTTGTCAGAACTCGGCAATACCGATACCACCATTTTAGTTCAGTATCGGGGCCCTGTCCGATACTGGTATAGATATCGTGGCAATACTACTTTATACACCTGCCTCACTATTATACACCTAGGCTTGTCTTGAGAAACATCTCCATACCTTAACACACCAATCAATAATTATAACTGTCCTCACCTATACACACTTGCACTTACCTTTGCACACCTCTACGTTATACCACTTTCCTTAAGAGAAAGTTCCTATTCTCCTACATTCCCCTGTACAGTGGATGATTGGGGTAAATAGCTGCTCTTTAACATCATAACGTGATCAAATATAAACAGATTCTCAGAGGAAACATACAAATATGTCCACCATGCAGTTGTTACTTCCTGTCCGTTTACATTATTTCTTTTTCCACTGTCTTCAGTTGAGCAGGTGACCAATGTGCTGCTTTACTCCAATGACAAATATGTCAAATCTGTGGCCAAAGAAGAGACTGAGTAAGATTTATTTCCCCAATGACATGTAACAGTTCTGAAATACATGTATTCTGTAAGAGTTGTGTTATTTATGCGGCTTGATCCATGTTGCAGTGATTCGGTTCCCTCTGGTACAACATTGAAGAAGGAATACAATCTGTACCCCATGCTGGCAAACAATAAGGACCGCAGAGGAATCGCTCTGGATGGACGACTTAAACATGAAGACACCAACCTGGCTTCATCCAGCATGTATGGAAACTTTGAATCAAGCTGCAGATCAACCTATAGAAAGCTGGAGATGATTCATTGTATGAGTAAAGGGGGAGTTCTGATTCTTGTCTCTGTGTCTCAGTGTGAAGCAGGAAGTACTGAAGGAAGTCCAGGGGATGTTGATCTCCTACAAGGTGGTACTGAAGATGATAGCATCCGGGTGAGTAAACCTCTGCTGGTCTCAGATCAGTTAAGGGGTTCAACCTCTAGTTTGAAAAGTAAATCAACTTTCTGTTGATTAGAGGACCTGTTCTTCCTGTAAGTCATGTTCTGTCAGATGAGCATACCCGGTCAGACCAGCATACCGATAGTCAAATAATGGGGTACAGGTATTGACTATCGATGAGGGATACACGCCCTCAACAGGTGTGTATCCCTTTAAGTCATGTACAAAAAAAACTATTTAATTGCTTACTTTTTGGTGTTCTTTTGAAGCGTATGATGATCTGACCTTAAATTGTTTTTATACATGACTAAAGGGACACACGCCCGTCTAGGTAGTTTAAAGTCTATTTTTCGTACAAAACTAAAGGGATAAATGCAAATCTGACATCTTGTGCATCCGTATCGACTACAGGTGTGCTGACCTGACAGAACATCTGCTCTCAGGGAAAATAACCCTCTAAATGTTAAATTAACTGATGCCTCTGCTCTCTTTGTTGCTGCTCACCAACAGGGCGGTGGGATCCAGGTATGTACACACTTCAACACGGTCTCTGTGTGCAGGGGCGTGTATTCCTTACATTGTGGGGACCATTTTCCACAAATCAAAGCACACTGTTGGGGTTAACTGCTTTGTCTGGACCAATGACTGGTCCTCATGGGTACAAATGTTGTTTTGGAGTTAGGTGTAGGACTAAGGTGTGAATTGAGTTTAGGTTGGGGTTAGTGTTAAATACCTGAACCTGTAATGGCTAGGTTTAAGGTGGGTGTCAATGTTAGGTTATAGGAATTGGTTACAAATGAATGGAAGTCAGTGGAATGTCCTGACAAGTATAGAGATACAAAATCTTGTGTGTTTTATGATGTTGTGATTACAGCTTTGTGGATTTTCTTACAGTGAGGTCTCTGTGGAGGTTCCATTCAAACTGATGAATCCAAAACCGGAACCAGGTAAAGACATTAGAAATTTTAAGGTCGGCTTATGCCTATTCAACGCCTCTTTTTTTTTTTTTTTTTTGCCAATACAGCTCTGAGAATTGATGTCCTGTTTTTAGATAATGGCTCAATAGATTTGCTTTTACAAGTGGAGCCTTGTAAAGTTGACATAAGGTTCCACTTGATAATTGTGTTTTATTTTATTAGACGTGGCTTTTGGGGAAAAATATTTACAATAGACATGGAGAAGAAAAGTGAGGGAAGAAAGGGATGGAGGGAAAGAAAGAATAAAGGAGAAATAAAGAAAAGACTGAAAATACAGAATAACTCCTAGAAGTGTACTTCCACAACCGCAAGAAATGGGATGGAGAAAAAAAAAAAAAAACAGCCTACGACAAAAGAGAGAATCTCATGGACACAGGAAATAGTTACACACGAACATCAAAAGCAAAACATAAGAAGATTACACAAGTCATTCAGAGCTATATTTAGTTAATGGTGCAGCTTAGCAGTAAACACAACTGTGTAACAATGAACACCTGAATCCAAATGCTGTGACGTATATGCAAGAGTTTGCTTCTGAATACAAGCTTTATAAGGCTCCATCAGCACAGGAAGATCTGCTCAACAGCAGAAGTGAGGGGCCCCAGACCCATCCCAAAGAGCCCAGGGCTGACACAAAGGAGACCGGAGCCCCAGACATAGGGAAGGGGAGGCACAGAGACAGCAGCAGCTGCACCCCCCACCCTGCGAAAGGCAGACGAGGGGCTCCAGGGTCGGACCCCACAGGCTGTGATGCTTACGCATACATGCTTTTCTGATATGTTTCCACCTAGAACATTGCAGACATAGCCTTTGCAGCATTTGATATTTTCCTCACTGTACCTAATAATCTAGCTCATATTGGGGAGTGGTTTATGGCACAGACTGCAAGGTTACAACACCTCATTACACGTACTAATAGAAAACTTGGTTCCCAACATTTTCACTGCCATCTAAGTGACATTTATTGGCCAAACCAAGACGTCAATGGATGTTTATATTTGTCAGCTTCTGAGACGGTTAGGAGCTGCTGCCAGTCCGCCATGTTTTCTCCCCACAGAAAACTGTCCATGTAGTTAAAGAATATCCTAGGTGTGCAAGTAGTAAAATAAGAGTGACATAAAAGCTGGAAGAGGGATGTAGACATCAGACACAGCAAAAATAAACCATGCTTTAACGTCCCATCTGTAGGCCATACCCACATAGTTCAGTAGCAAAACTGGACTCACTGGGTCACAATAAAGAGATGTTTCATTAATTTCCTATTCATGTTTCATTAATTGCCTTTTTTATTTCTTCTTCTGCTGCTGCCAATGACCCTCAGCCAAGGAAAGGTAAGACCTCTGCTTCATCACATGAAATTTCAAGGCATCAAATTAAATCTTAATTTTAGTCAACTTGTGAGGCTATCCCAGGATTCTCCAGCTTCCTCTCCAAACTTTGCAGTGAATCTGGAGACATGGTGTTTGAAGAATTTAAAAGGGCCTACCTGAAGGGTGTGGTTTATGGCGATGACGATGAGTCTCCAACTGAGGCCTGAGCCACGAAGATGGCCGCCAACATCGACAGTTCAGATCTTCACATACAAGGAGACATCAGATGAACTGCACATCATAACTATGAAACATATTTGGTGTGGAATTCTTACAAATAAAATCTGTAGTTGCTTACCTCTGACATTTCTTGGTTAAAGTTTTCTAGTTATAGTTTTATTTTAGGAAGTACAGATTGTAGTTGTCAGCTGTTCTCAGATTAAAGAACTTCCTAAACCCAAAAACTGCAGCGTTTGATTTTGTCTGTTTGACCGTTCATCCCACCAACCAACTAAAAACACAACCATTAAAACAACCAACTGCGCTCAGATTTTCCCTTAGCTCTTTTAAGGGACTCTGAGTATCCGTAGCTGTGAGTTAAACCTGTGAGTTACTCAGTGAACTGTTTCAAACCTGTGAAACTCCTCACTGAGAAGGTTTGGAGTTATAAGAAGATCCTTACACTTTGAAAACACAAGATCCAAGATTTTTATAACACTTTCCAGTCAGTCATCCGTTTTCCTCATTTAGAGCCATTGCAGAGTTCCAGATCCATGTTCATGTTAAGCCTAAACAAAAATATCAAATTCAGGCTCAGTTAATCCATCTGATCAACCCAGACAATGCTTCATTTCCATTAAAGTACATAGACAAAAAGAAAACATCTTTTCTGTGTCTTTAAGAAAACTTTTCGTGAGGGAAACAGATGTCCAAACACATCATTTAACTCCTTTCAATGCAAAAAAATTAAAGATAGAACCACAGTAAAATGCATTGGTCTCAAATGTGAAACAAAATACGGATATACATTGTGGATTAACCAGTCTATCTTCAAGCATCACATGACAACCATTACCAAGACTTCTATAATCTATAATGCGGTTTTACTGGCTTTGGTTATTAACACGGACGCAACAGGTACTGCTAGTGTGTCCACACGGCATGAAGCCAGCCAGACACCCACCCACCTACTTACTCATACAGTGCCGTCACTGACTCACGTTTCCAGCCCAAAAGTGTTCATAAACCACATATATATTAGAAATCTTGCCCAATTTGAACCAAAGTCTATTGATCTCTTAGGCCATAAATCTAAAGAAAAACATTTTTTACCCATAGACGGTAAGGCTGGGTAAAAAAATCGATTTAATCGATTTTGAATCGATTCCTTTATATTTGTGCAAAATCGATGTCTAGGGAATGAGATCAATTAGTTTTAAGATGCGTGATGTTCAGATTCAAATGAGCAGGAAAGATGCACTCCCTTAAAGCCAGACAGCTGCAAATATAGCCAATAGGTTGACTGAAGACCTTAACAAATGGGGACTGACCAGAAAACACCCTGTAGTTGTTAAAGACAACGCTGCAAATATGGTTTGTGCAGTGAAGATAATGCAGCTCATGCCTGTCTGCTGTGTCACGTCTGATTGCTCGAGTAAGGCTTCACTTTTATACTTTTCACAAACAAGTTTGCACTTATGAGACAGTTTTGTTCACATCTCAAGTTTAAACTATCTAATTTACAAGTTTGCACTTTATGTTTAATGTGACAGGAAAAAATTCAATGCATGAGTATTTTGAAACACAGTTGAACCACTTTCACTATTGTAAAACAGATCGAATCGAAATTAATCGATTTAGAACTGTATGAATCAAAATGGAATCGATTCAGGACTTTGGCGAAAATATTCAGCCCTAATAGATGGCCATCCTAAACTGCCAGATTGGGAAACATCCCAACCTGGGAACAATGCAGGTAAGACAGGAAATGGTAGCCTTTACATGCAAAACCCCATCATGCACCGCAACATATTTTTGCAAAATATTCTAACATAAATTTGCCAAATACAAGAGGAAAATTGTAGTTTGGTTTAAAGAAAGCATCTTAGTTTTATTATAATTTAGTTTGTTGCAATGACTTTACAGTTTGAAGAAATAGATCATTACACCATATGCCAACCGTCACAAGGATGTGCATGACAAGGAAGGGCTATATATACTGCATGCATCATTTAGGTAGTTAACATTGGATTTCTTCTTGAGCTCCATGAGTTATTTACTGTCACAGGTAGGTGTTTCGCCCTACCTGAACTATTGGGGGCACAGGAAGTTTGTCGGTGGAAAATCTTGATTTTCCAAAAAGGTAATCTGATAAACAGAAATTTATTTTATTAATTAATTTCCATTCTGAAAGACATACTTTTCCACACACTGCGTATAACCACTTTATAAACCAGCTTGTTTGGCTTTAGTCTTGCTGCAACCAGTGTTCTGAAAATTATTTCTCCTATTTTAGCTTCCCTTCATTGGCTTCCTATCCATGTAAAATCCTCCTTCTCCCATATAAAGCCTTAAATGGCCAAACTCTTGTCTTATATCAGGGATCCAATTGTTCCTTATGTTCCTAACAGAGCACTTCTCTCTCAATCTGCAGGTTCACCAGTGGTTCCTAGAATTTCTAAAAGTAGAATGGGAGGCAGATCTTTTAGTTATCAGGCTCCTCTCCTGTGGAACCAACTACCAGTTTTAGTCCGTGAGGCAGACACCCTGTCTACTTTTAAGGCTAGGCTTAAAACTTTCCTTTTTGATAAAGCTTATGCTGGGCATATACTGTGCGATTTTTTTTTTTTTCAATCGTTGCACGGAGCTACAGCTCACACTGTCGACGAAACCACAAGGTTTCGTCGTACAGTGTAAATTCACAACTTACGATGTATTTTCTCACACTGATGCTCTAATGCAATCTACCTGCTTACACTGTACATCCAAAAACCACATTGGACTCAGCTCCGCAGTGAGATGGGACTCGTCTATCCAGAAGACAAAGAAGTAGAAGAGGAATATGAAGCTCACTAGAGAGAAACACGCTGCCTCTGCAATTTTGTGCTGAAAGCCCTAAAAAGAAAAGGTGATGACGTATTTGGACAAAGACATGGCTGAGCAAACGTGGCTACTACAGTTTTACAGAAAAAACTCCATTTCACTTGCACTTCTCACTTCTGTGTTTTTGTCTGAGAGGAAGAAGAAAAAGTGGAATCCTTGTTTTCCCACTGAGCGATTTGCCCATGATGGTCAACTGAAAATCAAATATGTTTGATTTTCTCCTCACCTTAGGATTCCTGACTGGGAGGTGGTCGTGAGAGGCTGATCGCCCCTCGTTACCCCCTGTATACTACACGACTCACGATGCACGATCAGGGTAAAAGTTTGGCCAATCAAAAAATGATCTTATAACTGGAAAGTCGGCTTAGACTGCTGGAGGATGTAGGGTAACTTTCCCTCTCTCCAATATCCAACTTTTATTCTCCATTTGTTCATTATTTGTTTTAATGCTAACTTGTAACAAACAAAATATATAATTGCTCTTCGTCTTTATTTTTTTACTCGTCATAGTATCCACATGTGGCTTGACGCTCTGGCACCACCCTGAAAGGAGGCTTTATCTTGACTGCCACCATCAGCAAGTTCATGATAATGATAGAGTTTATTCTGGTTTTAAGTGTTTAATCCTGGTTCTCTCATGGACATAGCCATTGGTTCAACTTTCACTATGACTGGGTGCGTCTTTGTTCTGTTATCCTTTTGACCTGTAAACCAGAACTGCTCAACCATTTCTTTCCTAGACAGAGCAACCTAGTTAACCATTACTGTCTTAAGCAAATATTACTTATAGATCATGGCTTCTATGTTCCCTTTATCCGTCTGTCCCTGTCTTCTTAAAGGAAAAGTCTGGTCAGCAAGCAATAATCAATGGATCATTATCTATACCTAAAACTAATATGTTTGTGTTGATTTAATGAATTTAGCATTAATCAGTAAAAAAATGTGAAAACAATAATTTTCGTTGTGATCACCGAGTGCAGGACCAGCCATTTATGCCCAAATATAGTAACCCCTCCCTCCTTCCATCTTCCAGCAGTGACGTCACGGTGCGGTAAGCCTAGCGCCATTCTCCTCGCTTTTCAAGCAAAATCAATGGGAACTACTAGACACATCTGCAATCAACAACAATTATTTAAGATTTCCAGAGGACTGACATTGCCCACGTGCATGGAAGTTGGATGTTGTAATACATTGGGTAAAGATAAAAAAGAAAATTAGTTATTTCACCTTTTCGATTCATGATCCTCTACGAACGGGTTCGTCGTTGGATTGCCAACTTGAAGAGGGAGGATTTGCCAGTGAACTTCTGGCCAGAGAAAAAACATGTAATATGTAGCCAACATTTTGAAGAAGAATGTTTTCAAGATGACTTGAATAATAGCGCGTTGTGACAAACACCAGATACAGCATTGGGACTTGCTCAACAGCCGATAGTGTTCTTTGACAAACATGTCTCCAGTAAAGCACATTCAAATGAAAATTAATATTAATTAAAACACATATAATTTATTGAACAGTATGTAACAATTTCATATGTAAAGTACTTTCAGATGTTTCAATTCTGATATGGCTGAACTTTTCCTTTAAACTAAGTTGGCCATGGCAGAAGGCCATACAACGCCTGTTTCTGCTGAATGTTTCTTCCTAATAAAAGAGAGATTTCACCTCTACCGTTGCATCATGCATACTTGGTATAAGGGATTGCTGCAGTCAACAACACTTTGCAAGCAAATGTCCATTGTTGCCACAAGTGATTTCTTCAAAGTCATTGACTCCATGCAATCAGCTGGGTGTTCAAAGATAGAACTTTTAAACAAATATGTCTGCATTATTTGATTAAATTGACTCTGAAAATGCCTTGAGGTTACATTTATGTTTTATAACTTGAGCGCATTAATTTGAGTGAATGAATTACATTGAAGTAAACTTTCTAAGCGGATATCCTTTGTAATGTCAAAGATTTGCCAGCAGGGAGCAGTATGCCCCTCCTTCGCTGTGCTGTGCACTGTCCGCCGCTAGGGGGAGCTGTTTCTCCGCAGCTCATCAGGGGCCTGATAATGACAGGATGGCGGAGGCAGGGGGACCGGAGTCCACTGCGGCCCGGTGTCCGGACGAGTCATCGGACAGCGAGCCTGAACAGGAGCCCGGATCTCCCCAGAAACTCATTCGGAAAGTATCCACGTCCGGTCAGATCCGCAGCAAGGTATGATGGGGTTACACTTGGGGAGCTTATGGAGGGGTTTGGATGGTCATTGAGCGGAGTGGGCCCCACAAAGCCCCGAGCTGCTCCGCTATGACCGAAGGAACTCTTGGGAGCCAAACCCCCGGGAAAAAACGACCCTTTTAGAATCTTCGCCCCGAAGAAGTTCTTTATAACGTTTTAATAAATGTATATGATCACAGGCTGGTTGCATAAAGACTGTTCTCTGATCCGTCCTCCAGAAAAGCTTCACTGGGTTTAGAATCTGTCCGCTACTGAAACTTGGATTCCTTCTTCTCTCATCCGTTATCCGCTGTAGGCGGTCGCAGTCACCCGACTTAAAGACAAAAATAGACCGCTCTAAACAAAATCTGATCTATTTGCCCTTTTTAACTGATGCCGAATTAAAGAGTGGGTTTAATTCCGTCCCTTTGTTTAATCTTCTCCATCGACCGTTATCCGGGAATAAATTAAATTCCCAATCAGCACTTTGAACTAAAGCTTGATGAGAAAGTTACAATAACAAAGAATCCGACCTGATGACCATAATTTTAAATTAAACCGTATGAAAATGCGCTTTTATTTCTTTTCTCTAACCATTTAAAGATCCGGATTTAAGGGGTTTATTTTTCTACCGATGTGCTTGAACTTAAATTCGACGGATTTTGAATTGAGTTTGGTCTGGTTGTTCAGTTCCGGAATAGTTGACGAAACTGTTGGCTATTGGTGACTTATAAAGGTGCCGAATTAAATAATGGATTTGTTTCAATTAGTTGACGTCTGTACATTTAAGTTTAGTTGCAAGTTTCATTTTAGAGGTACATTTCAGTTTAGACCTAACAGCTTTTAACTGGAGTCTGGATAAAGCTAACGGAACCTTAGGCTGCTGGGCGAGTTTTTTATCATGCCGAATAGGAATGGACGCGTTTTATATTTAATAGCGTTAGTGTTGTCATTAGAACGGAGATTAAAATTTGTAAATGAGTTAAAGAGAGTTAAAATACTAAGGATTTTTGGTGAAAATCAGTGTGTTTGTTTTTTCATCCGAGAAACTCGAGATATTTGTGTCATGACCTATTAATGTTCACTAAAGTATTTCACATGAGCTCAATAATCAATAAATAACTAAATTGGAGTTAAGTTTAATACGCCCCTATTAGCCTATTGCAGGGCGTAAATTAGAGATGAACAATAAAAAAGGAAAAGGTTAAAATTATATCCGATTAAAACACTAAGAAGGAGCATCAAAAACTGATGTGGGCTGAGGCCTGAGGGAGGCCTCTGAGCTCCCCCAGTGTTTCCACACGGACGGTGGTGAGCTGTGAGACCGGGGGGAGGAGCTACATTCCAGGTAATGCTAGCGGCGAGTTTTCTTGTTAATTACTAGCCTGATAAACCAGACTAAATGTGAGATTAAATGTTTAGTCTGGCCCCGATGAACGAGACATTGTAAGATTGTTGAGAACAACCCGTTGTATCAAACTATGTCTGTGCCTATTGGCCAACGCTCTGACCAATGAGCGCAACTGACTGTGACGTAGTAAGCGCGACAGAAAGATGGTGGGGCAGTGTAAACAAACAGCCTGTCGGTAAAACGGCGAATACATCGTTCTTAAAAATGAATGAGCGTAGAGCCTCTTCCTGCTCACGTTTCAATGAAAACCCCAAGTCTCCTTTCAAAACTGATTCCAAAGCTGAGTCAATCGAGGACTGTTCAATAGTTGTTCCCATCTTCCTTGTTGTGCATCCTCCATTGTCGCGCAGCTTTGGCGTCACGCCCTGAAAACCCCGCCCGCTTTGCGTCCAAAAATTCAAGACACATCTCTGCCTTGTGATTGGCCCGCCAGTTCTAGGGCCTGGGGCATTGATAGAGGCCAGACCACTGGCGGGAGGGGCTAGTTTACTAAGGTAGTTAATTCCAACTGTAGTGAACAAAAAAAGGCCTTTCTCGACAAATCATTGATAAATCTGAGCAGCTGTTACTTATTATCGGATTATTTACCGCTTTTACCTGTCGCTGTGTTCATGGATGTTTAAAACAACATTGATCGATCACATCTCCTTTTCAAAGTTGTGTTTAAAATAATCTTATTTTTAGTTAAGTTAAAAATAAACAGAAAAAAAGGTAGAAGAGTTGTTTATTGTGTAAAATTCAACTATCTCTTTTCCGTTCAGCTTACTTTCTCTTAACCATGTAAGAGATTTAAGGAATAAAGTAAAAATATAAAGAGCTGGAACATAAATATGAATGTGTTTCAGCAGCTGGTTCCTCATATTCCTCCTGTAATAAATCTGTGAGTTCCTATGGGCCCTGAAGGCAGCGGTGGTTGGGTTCAGGGGGTTTGAATGGAGTCAGGTTTCTATTTAAAGCTGCATTTTTTCCCCCCCGGTTGGAGTTAAGCACATGGAGAGAGATTCATGGGAATAACAAGGAACGTCTCAGTGGTTTTATCCACAGCCCTCCCTTTGAATGTTCCTCCTAGAAGTGCGTCATAAACATCAAAGTAAACTGAGCTTTAACCTCTCACAGTGAACCTCGTTGTCTACAGCAACAAACCCTCAGAGAGAGAGAGAGAGAGAAAAAAAAAGCAACTTGACTCAAAACAGCTCCCTTTGTTCCATTGTGTCAGGAGACAGTGACGCGGCTCCTGCTAAAACAAGCTAATCCAGCCTCTTTACATCAGGTTTTAGACAAATCTAAAAATATGCACAAAAGTGTCAGAGTGGCATCATATTAACTTATCCTAGGAACTGCAGCCTTTACAGTTTGCTGGATGGAAGGATTTCTGGGTGAGATGTTTCAGCGAGGGTGAATGGATTGTCTCTGATGACTAAAACGGGTGAAATAAAGAGCCCAATCCTACGATCTCAGTAAGACTCAGAGCAAACATTTATTCACTAATTTTCTTCAAACGCTTTAATTTCCTCTAAAATGTA